CCAATAATCACGGTTAAAAATTACCCGCCTAAACTACGCAATTTATTTCGAGTTTCATCCGCGAAAACATCGGTTCTATAGATTAAACTCATTTCTGCCCTAAAATGGAAAAAGACGAAAATATCCAAACAAATCCAAACACACACATACATAATCATATACATTGGTAAGATAACAACATTTAACACCCTTACCTTTATTAATCGGAAGCTAGAAGTCGTTCTTGATGATTCCAAGCTTTTCCCCTTTTTCTCCTCTTTTCTCTTCTTCCTCTTTCTTTCCACTCTTCTTTCTCTTATGTTTTTCCATTCCCTTTCCTTTCTCTCTACTTTTCTTTTATATCTCTTTCTATCATTTTTCCTTCCATCATAATTCTTCTCTCAAAATATCTACCAATTCTTTTAAATAATCATCCAATAATTTCAATGAATCAATTAATTAACACAAATAGTTAATTAATGAAAATTGGGTTGTTACATACCTGCTTATAAGACTTACTGCATATGCTATCACTACAAGAAAAAAGGAGATTTACGACACTTGAGTTGCGACAGTTATCACAAAATCGTCCTTATTTATGGATTGCGACGGTTTTCACGACAGTTAGGGTCAACTGTCGTAGATTTTTTGTGACAGTTATAAAAAAACCGTCCTTATTCCTGGACTACGACAGTTCTCACGACGGTTTGAGCCAACCGTCGCAGATTTTTTAGACATGTTGTATAAAATAATTGCGACAATTACCAAAGAACCGCCCTCTTTCCACACTCGCGACAGTTAAGGCGAACTGTCGCAATTACTTTAGCCAATCATAATCACTATTTTTTTATTCCTTTGATTTTCCACTTTTTTCTTTCATTTTTATTTTTCAACCTTTTCAATTTTATTAATTAATTTAATAAATAATTATTATAATTATCATGACAATGCAGTTTAATATTTTTGTCTAAAATAATAGTAAAATATGTTCTGTTTTATTATATAAATAGTTAATTTTTATTAAAATTAATTTTGGTAATAATATCACTACAAGAAAAAATTAATTTAAAAATTAATTTTTCAACATTTGATTTGGGACGGTTATAGAAAAACTGCCTTGAAAAACACTTATTACGGAGGTTCAGTGCAACAGTCGCCATTCATTATTTTAACTTTTAAAAATTAAAACACCAAAATTGAGAGATCCTTCAACATATAGGAGTAGCCTCCGTATTTCTTCACACTTCAAACTACCGCCTATAATTCGCTTTCTGCTTCCCTTTTCTCCCCATAAAGCCTATATTTCTCCCCTAATCACAATCCCTCAGTCTTGATATCTGTAATCGATTTTTAAAAATAATTTCTCCCCCAAATCGCATTTTGTCAAGTCCTTCAATCTCTCATACTCTCTGGATAAATGATGGCAAACACTCAGTTTTTATTTGACGTTACAAGATGAAAAATCCCCCATTACTTTCGATTTTCATTAGGTTTGTCAATTTGATTAATTTTTTTAAAATTCTTTTGACCTAAAAGCTTAGTTTTGGAATTAGTTGATGATTCCTTTGTTTCTTGCCTTTTTTGTTGGAATTTTATTTTGCAGTTGCTGTTAAAGTTAGAAGACAACAGATTGATTGAAACTGGTATTTCGGTTGAAGACTCCGCCGGTTAAAGCTTTGGCAGAAAAGGAAACCACTGCATGAAATAGGGAAGGTTGAAAGATTGGAGGGGATGAGTGTTAAAGGAAATCTAAACCGAAAGAAGTAAGCATTCTTTCCCCTAGAATGTCTGTTTGTCTTTAATTTCAGTGAATGTAGTCACAAAGTAACTTGACCATTGATAATAGTTTGACGGTTCAAATCGGTTTGTCTAATTTACGATACGAGATCTTGGTCAAAATATGATGATAATTCGATTGAATATATTTCTATTGGTACCAACAATTTAGCTCGTATGCATGAAATAGTGTCTGACTCTGAGGCATGATAGTTCGATTGGCTACATTTCTATTGGTAGTACCGACACTTCAGTTTGTATGCATGAAATAATGTATAGTGTCTGACTCACATTCATGTATTGTAGTCACATTCAATTAATTGTTAATGATGTCTCAGTCAGAGTAGTCAATAGCGACCAATAAAGGTGTTATGCTGCTATAGCGGAGCGGAAGCCAATCACTATGGGAAGAGTTTTGGCGGTGCAGAACACTATAGCGACCACTATAGGATAAATAGTGGGTAGCGGAGCAGAGCGGTTCCTTCCCCAGAGTGGTTCCTGTCTAGTTATTATTTTCCTCTACGCCAATTGTTCAGTTCTGGATCAATGTTTGGTCCAAATTAGATGGGGAATTTAAAAGTGATAAGAGTTAAAAGTGAAATCGAAGTGTCTGTACTGTGTTATATAAGAGTTGAAAGTGTCTGATGAGTGCTTATGCAAATACTTTATTGTGTTAGTTCTCTCTATCTTTCTCAACATTATCATTTGATGCTTGTGTTTTGTTTGTTATAGCGTTTTCACTCCATACTATAGTGAAACTGTGCTTTATAGTACATCTGAATTACAAAAGGAGAATGAAGATGGAATATCTATTCTATTCTATCTTCAAAAGATATTTCCAGGTAATGTTTCTATTCTCTTTGATTCCCTTTCGTGAAGAATAAAAATGTTAATGTTTAAAGTTCTTAGAGTTCTCAGTATTCAATGTATCTGAGTATATTAATGAATCATGATGTAAAATTGAAAGCTTACCTGACTTTTTCTGAAAGAACACTAATACAATATTATGTTTCTAAATATTGACCGACTGAACCCTTGTAAGAGCTGTATTTACTTTTCACACCTGCAATTTTTATCCATTAATCATTGTCTTGAAACTTCATTATTACCCTACTGTGTTTCCCTTCCCCAATCTTATCCAATTTTAGAGCAAAAGAAAAAATAAAATAAAAGTAAGAGGGGAAGTAAATTTATCATGCTAATTTATCTGTCAAGAAAGAACTGTGTGAAAAGCTATAGCTGTGTGTGGATAGGAGTAAAACACGGAATGGTTTTTGCTATGATGAACTTTGCTAGTTTAGGATTGAAATTAACTGTTTTATATTGCAGATGAATGGGACAACTTTCTTGAAAGAATCGGTCGAGTTTCATCTACTGAGGATGCAGAACTTCAAGAAAGTTCTAGTGACACTTTGGAACTTCGTTTTTGGGCATCTTATCGAGGGCAGACTCTGGCAAGAACAGGTTATAAATTCTTGGCAAATCCTATTTGTCTGAGTTTATGTTTCCATTTGACATGAGTTGATGAGTAAATAGTGTATTTCCTGAAATTTTGGTCTCTTTCCTGAACACTGCACTGGTGTTTCTTCAATCCCTTCCTCTTTGAATTTGCAGTATGTGGCATGATGTATTACAAGAGAGCTTTGGTGCTGCAGAGCTATCTAGAGAGCAGATCACTGGGAGGTAGTTAAATAAAAACATTTTGTGTTGCACTGTCATTTTATGTTTTTTATTGTTCTAATTAAGCTTGACATGTATATTTGTTGACATCTGCTATATCTATAGTGGACAATTATTCTCAAAACAATTTCATTACAAGTCAAGGTTTTGAACCATCCCGAGAATCACGGGCACAGGCAGATTTAAAGTTTACTTATGTTGTATCATGCCAAATTTATGGTCAACAAAAGCAGCGAAAGGCACTAGAAGCTGCTGATATTGCTTTGTTGTTGCAGAGGTATCAAAATCGTGTGCTCATTTACCAAGAACTCTTAGTGTCATGACTGGCAGTCTAATTAGATATTTTATATGGGCATCTGTGTGATAGTAGCTTAGTATGTGTGGCAGTCAGACATTACTGTTTTCCTGAATATTTTATAGAATGAAGTGTGCTTTAGATGCCTTCCTAATGTCAAATATCAGTTGCATATTTGAAATTCGAGAGTATCTATCTTTTTGTGTGTGTATTTGTTAGTATTAGAAAGGGATAAGAGAAAGAGAGAGAGGGATTTTTCATCTTCTAACCAACTTTTGTATTTCTGTTATTGTGTTGTTACAAAACAGTTACAGCAATTCTGCTTTTATACAGCAGATAAGAATGACCTGCACTAGCAGGTTCTAAACAAACCTAATGACCTGCAGTATCAGGCTTGGGTGACATACTACAAGTCTTCCCGTTTTTAAGATTAGCATATTAATACTACTGGTGACTGTTTTTATGCCTAAAATGTGATGAATTTGTCTGCGCTGCTGTTTATTGTTTTTATCTGTGACGAAAGAGAGAAAACCAGAAATACATATGGTGAGTGGTGAGACTGTGTCTAAACTATAAACGGGGTCACATTTGTATAGGATTTAGGAAATATACAAAATAAATATAAATACAAATTCTACACAAATAATACATTAATCGGTAATAAATTTTCAGCATCCCCCCTCAGGTTGGAGCATTTAAATCATATGCACCAAGCTTGTTACATGCATAACCGATTCGAGGACCTCTCCAAGATTTAGCAAAGACATCTGCCAATTGAGAAATCATTTTCAGTTTTGTTTTGACTTTTGATTTACATAATTGCACCAAGCTTATTTTCATTATGTTTTCTTTTTCTATACATTTGAACAAGGAAACGGTGAAAGTAGTTATCGTAGAGAAATTGTTTATTTGTTTATAACCTCTCTTTGGTGCAATGGACATGATTATTTCTAGGGCTTTTGTCTTACCTCTAGTTACTTTGTTTAGTAGATAAGTTATCTTTGTCCATTGGTATTATATTTGGGAATAAACATTTTTTATTCAAAGAGATTTATTGTTAATTGTTTGCTTACCTTATACACAGGGCCTTGATGGATACTTTTTATTTTCAGTTTCCTAAATTCATTCTTTTGTCATCCTTTTTATTTTCAGTTTCAATGCTGTTTTTTGTTCTTGGATTGGATACTTTGTCAATCATTATTGAAATAGCAATCATGGTGCTATTTTGGGACTTTATTTGCTCTGTGGATTACCAAGTTGTTAATAAAATATGGTTGATCAAATACAGTTTTCTTCCTTAAATATTGTGTTCTTTTCATTGTCGGGTTCTTTATGCTCTTCTTGCACAAAGGAAATATATTCTATCAAACTTCCTGGGGATCCAAAGCTGGGTGAAGGAAAGCCTGAGAACCAAAACCATGCAATAGTATTCACTCGTGGTGATGCACTACAAACTATTGATATGAATCAGGTCAGGACATTTTCTCATGATAATTATCTCTTTTTGTCTCTTCAACAATTATGCTTGATACTTGTACTTTTTTATATATATATATATCATATTATATCTTGCAGTCTCACTGTTTAGCAAATTTTATCCTATAGTACTTTGCCCCGATCCTATTTTTTTGGCTTTTATTTGCAAAATATTTTTTCTCCCGTTGTACATTCTTAGAATTTTGTGAGCCCTACCTCAATCCGAAAAGTTATCGGAAGAGATGAGAATTTTTTAAGCCTTATAAAGACTACTATGGTCATATCTCTCATGAATGTTACATCTCAAAACACACTCCTCATGTTGTGCGTTTCAATCTGAATCATGGACAAATACGGGTGGCCAACAGATCTTGGGTAGTCTTTTGTATCTTCAAATTTGGGCTAGGCCTAATTCAATCCAAAAAGCAAGATCATGAAATGAGAATTTTACAACCCTCTCATGGACTACTTGGCCATATATGTAGTTAATGCGGTTTCTCAAACATTTACTTATTGTTTTTTTATCATTATTTGGTTCACTAGCCGATGTTAGGTGTTGTAAATAATGTTTTTTATATATTTAATAGTAGTAGTAATCTGTATTCGGCCTAGTAGTCCATTAGTCATGCCTTTTAGGTTAGAATAGCCTATATAAACAGATTAGTGCTTGTGAATTATTCATTAACTTGAAATACATATTCAGTTTTACTAGGTGTTCGGGAGGGACTAGCAATATTTAGTTGAGAAATATATTGTATCCCGTTAAATATATGATGTAAATGATAAAGTGACTTGATCAGTTTTTCCAGGCACATTTATTGGATACATTTTGTTTTCTAGGACAATTATCTTGAGGAGGCTATGAAAATGAGAAATCTTCTTGAGGAGTTTCATGCGAATCATGGTCGTCGCTCTCCAACAATTCTCGGAGTGAGGGAACATGTTTTTATGGGAAGGTATTCACCTTTAAGAAATTCATTAAATGAAGTTACACTATTGAGCTTTAGCTCCTCCTCATTTGCTTACATATTGCTTGCTGATACTTCTGCAGTGTCTCATCCTTGGCTTGGTTCATGTCGAATCAAGAAACTAGCTTTGTAACCTTAGCTCAACGTGTTTTTAGAAAATCCTCTCAAGTAAGTTGTGTTTATTGCTGATGACGTACATTTCAAAACATGTTTATGGTTTGATATGTGTCATTTGATATTTGTGGTTGATTCCACTTGGTGGGACAAAGCTATGGTAGTAGTGGTGGTTGTTTTTCATTCTCTAAGAATGATACTCCTAAGTTTTCTTTCTTTTAGCTTGTGAACAATCACTGACTCAATGTTGTTTGATTTATGTCAAGACTATTGGTCATTGACGGTATCATCTACCATGAATAACATTAGTGTTTAGATCTGTCTTTGGCAAGGATATGGGGTCTAGCGAACGGGGTTAGACTTCCACAATGTGGAGAATAAAAATTTGAAGTCTGACTGACACGCCTTGAATATCTTCAGTGGAGGGTTTTCCCAATGTTGTAAGTGTAATTCTAGTTTTCCCATCAAATTTGAGTACCTCTTCAACCTTGTTCGTCCTCCATCCATCATTTCTGCACTTTGTTTCTTTCTTCTGCAGTTCCAGCATACAAATCACACATAACATTTCCCTCCTCTCTGCATTCTGTTCTTCAACCGCAGCAGCCGTTGTTGTTCCTCCTTGTCCGTCGAAGTTTGATAGGAGAATTACGATAGGTTTTAAGCCTGAACTCCCGGTTCTTGACAATATTTTAGACTCAAAAGTCGGAGCTATTTATCTCAGAGATGCTGCATCGCCAATATCAAAATATTACGAAACGAAAAAGTTGGAGCCAAAAAGCAATGAGATAGTGCCAGCTTCTGATGTCAAGGTAACATCGACTTCTCTTTTCTTGGAATTTGTTTGAGAGATGGAATTCCAATTGAAATGTTAAATGTTCTTTTAAATTACGTGTGTTATATTAATGCAGGGTGCTCTAAGGAATGCAATATGACAGGGACTCCAAAGGTATTTATTTGTGTCCTAAACGTCTCGATGCCACCCATTTTTCAGGTTGAGGTTGGATAATATAGAAGTTAGCAAGGATAGATCTGACAAGAGTTTTTCTATTATGAGGTTAAGTGTTTTTCTATTATGAGGTTCAAGTGGTAGTAGACAATGGTCAAGGTTCAAGTATACATTTTTGTTTTATACACTAAGTAGTATTTATTTTACAATGCAAGTTAGTGAGGTGAATGGTGATGATGTAACTTGTCTCTTCAAAATTTTATCATAGTAAATGTGAACGGGTTCTTGACCTTATTGTGGATATTGATAGTTTTTTTGTTTAATAAAATTACAATTTTTTATGGTATTTTGTATTGATTGAATTGAATATTGTAATAGTATTGGTATTATACTAACATGAAGAGAAGATAAAACGTAGCAATTTTAAAAAAAATAATAAAATTACGGCGGTTCTAAACTGTCACTATTTTAAATGAAATATATAATATATAATTATGGCGGTTACACCCGTCGTTATTTTCAATGAAATATATATTATATAATTATGGCGGTTACAACCGTCGTAATAATATATTAGAGGCCGTTTCAAAACTGTCGCAGAATGTTACAACAGTTGGAACGACAGCTTTTCAAACCGTCGTAAAACAGCCTCGCGACACATGTTTCTACGATAGTAGGGGAACCGTCGTGACTTGAAAATTACGTCGGTTTAAACCGTCGTAATCTGCAAAATTAACTGTCGTAATTTGCTTATTTTCTTGTAGTGTATGTCGAGTCTAGTACATACCATAACATACATCAAAGAACCTACTATATTAGCATATGGAATACTATTCATATAAATTCTTTCGACATTAGTAATAGGACACTGATCTATACTCAGCTTGAATTGAGGGTTTGTCGGAGTCACAACAAGCTTTGAATTTGACATACCATACTTTTCGAGAATCTTCCGTAGGAATACCTCTTGAGATAAGCATAACTTCGACTGCTTTCTATCTCTTTGGATGTCAATCCCAAGAATCCTGGATGCAGCTCCCAGATCCTTCATGTCGAACTCCTTATTGAGTTCATTCTTCACCCTCATTACATCTTCGACATTGTTATTTGCTATTAGAATATCATCAACATAAAGCAACAGAATAACAAATGAATTACCAGGTCGAAATCTAAAGTAAACACAGTGGTCGAACTGACTTCTAATGAAAATTATGTGTGCCATGAACTTGTCAAATCTCCTATTCCACTGTCGAGGAGATTGTTTCAGTCCATATAAAGATCTATTTAGTTTGCACGCATAATCTTCCTTCCCTTTTTCGACATACCCTTCAGGTTTCCTCATAAGAATTTTTTCATCTAGATCACCATACAAGAATGCAATCTTCACATCCATCTATTCCAGTTCAAGGTTGAATTGTGCCACTATGGCAAGAAACTTCGAATGGATATATGCTTCACAACAGGAGAAAACGCGTCATTAAAGTCGACACCTTCTTTTTTAGTGAACCTCCTAGCGACCAATCTTGCCTTGTATCTCTTTGACGTCACTCCTTTGATCCCTTTTTTAACTTTGAAAATCCATTTACAGCTGACTAACCTGGCTCTAGCAAGTTTCTTGATCAGTTCCCAGGTGTTGTTATCATGAAGAGATTTCATCTCATCATCCATGGCCTTCAGCCATTCAGTCTTCTTTCGAATCATCACAACTTCCTTATAGTTTATAGGTTCTTCGTCTAGAACCTCACTTGTAGAGATTAAGGCATAAGCTATAAGATCTTCATACCCAAGTCTCTGAGGTGGCTTGATGACTCTCCTCGACCTGTCTCTTGCTAGCAAGTAGTCATTATCAGTCTCCTCATCTTCGACAACATCTTCTGCGTCTTCTTCGACTTCATCTAGGATACAAGTGTTCTTCAATGGAGCTTATGAAGTCGAAGAATTAAACGAAGATAAGAGAATTTTAAAAGTAAATGGCAAGTATTTGAAAAAATACAAACCAGCACTTCAAGAAATTAAAATCTCTACAGAATAATTCAATACATAAAGCAAAGCCAAAAGTGGTATTTATAAATTCCAAAATGGCTCAAGTCATTACATAATCAAGTCTAAAGACTATGGCATATGATGGCCAAAAAAGAAAAACATTACAAAAATAGTAACAAGCTAAAAGGGGAGATTCTCTTTCATTTTGAAATATCTCGACTTCTGGAGTTCGAGGAGCCTTTCACATAAGGTTTTGTCGGACATCAGACGGACAACCTTTGCTTCCAGTTGTCGAGCTTCCTCAGCGAAAGTGATGGCGTGATCAAGCTCTTTTGAAAGGTCAGAATCATCGAAGGAAGATAGCTCAGTGTTCTATTTCTTAACCTTCAATTCCAATCCAATATTTTCCCAAATTAAATCGTGCCTGATGATAGAATCGGTACTGGCCTTGAACGAAGTAAAACAGAAAAGAAGCAGAGAAATCTGATTAACATCAAAACAGAACTATACTCCGTACCAAAAATTCAATTTGTGCCTCTGATAACTAAATCCAACGTCCTGAACTCATTCGGCCAAAAATCACAATCAAACAGGTATAGTAACTCTCGACTCTGGTAGAAACCTCCAGTGCTTCTCTTTTGAAAAATTTAATGGTAGATAGCAGCAAAACAGAAAATAAGCATCTGTTAAAATAAACTCCGCAGAACGAATTCTTGCACTGATTTGAGCCGAACCAAATTGATATCTCAACATAATCAAACCCATAAGATAGAACAATGCCTTGAAAATCTGCTGACAACAGAGTCTTGGCCCGTTGAATTGATTATTGTATCGCCAAAAATTACTGTAACTTTCTGTTCATCCTCAAATAAAATAAAGAACTCGGAAATGGAGGCCCTAATTACTCAATGGATTCCTGGCGATGATTCAGATTTATGAGCTGTCAGTAAACAACATATAAATGACCATTTCGCCCCTTAACAGCTAAAGTGTACCAGATGTGATTCCTGCAAAACAAACAGACTACATAACCCGTTAGTAGTTAGCTGATATGTAATGCAAAAATGAAATGTGATGCGACAAGAAACGGCTAATCAAAGGGTAAAATTTGGGGTATTACAGTTGCCCCTATTTAAATAGCTTCACCGGATGATTTGAGCGACGTAGGCTCGAGAAATCATGGTGAAAGGGATTTAAATATAGTTAACCGAAAATTTTGCCCTTAGATGCAGTGATATGCAATGTTATGGAAAAACGAAACAATATAATGCTGACAATGCCATGAATCTAATATAATGCGCATGCTGGAATGATGAATGCAACGATGCAGATGACCCGACGATGCAGAGGACAGACGCGACAGCCAAACACACTAGGGAAAACGACGCACTTGGAGAAAAGCACGACACTGGGGAATTCTAAAGTGGTGGTCAACTGGTACTAGCACGACCAATTGTCACTCTAAGAAAGGGAATGTTAAAACGGGATCCACAACGGAGATGGCACCGGTGAGACGGCCTCCACTGGGGAATATCTGAGAGTAATTGTTCAACAGGTTCATGCGTGACCGGCTGATGCTCTAGGGTAAAAGTAAAACTGGATCTGCACGACTGTAGGAACGATTAACAAGATGCTGGAGCATTAAGCAAAGAATAACATCCGAGCTTCTGCAAACTCTCCCTCGTGACAGGATCAAACGGAATTTAGGAATCCGTGGAAAATATACAGGTAAAACCGGCTGTATGCCAAAATAAATGGACTTAAATGGGAAATTCCATGATAAGCTTTCTTGAGAGAGAACTGCCACTTATCGTCGGAAGGGACTTATATGTCAAACTGGATAAGCTCTCAAATAAAGATATTGTTGCTTATCTGTGGGTAATAGATGAATAATTGATTGATAAGCTCCACTGGAGGGACTGTCGCTCATCGGATAAAGTAAGCTTCCATGATCAGAACCTGATTCAGCTTCTTCTTTTACTAAAGGATAAACTGAACTTCCTCATGCTTCAAGATTTTGTGCTCTCCTGAACATGATTCAACTCCTTCTTTTACTAAAGGATAAACTGAACTTCCTCATGCTTCAAGATTTTGTGCTCTCCTGAACATGATTCTGCTCCTTCTTTTACTAAAGGATAAAATGAAC